GATACTATTCTTGGTATCAAGGTGAAGAGGACAGGTGGTCAGATTTCTCTGAGTCAATCTCATTACATAGAGAAAATTCTGACAAAGTTTCAACATTTGAACATTAAGGAATTCAATACTCCTTTTGATTCAAGTGTAAAACTGAAGGTGAATTCTGGTCGAGCAGTGGCTCAACTAGAATATGCTAGTGAAGTAGGAAGTATGATGTATGCTACTCACTGCACGCGACTTGACATCGCATTCGCTGTAAGCAAATTGAGTCAGTACACTGTTAATCCAGGGACGGAGCACTGGAAGGCAGTGGGTAGAGTACTAGGATACCTGAAAAGGACAAGTACTTTTGAGTTGACATATTCGTCATCTAATGGAATACTTGAAGGTTATTCTGATGCCAGCTGGATTGATCACACTACTGATTTAAAATCAACAAGTGGTTGGATTTATACTCTAGCTGGTGGTGCTGTTTCTTGGGCAAGCAAGAAACAGACATGCATAGCTCATTCAACGATGGAAGCTGAGCTAATTGCTTTAGCAGCAGCAGGCAAAGAGGCAGAGTGGATTCGAGATCTACTTATAGATATTCGTTTGTAGGATATTCCGATGCCTTCAATACCCATGTACTGTGACAGTGAGGCCACACTGTCTAAAGTATATAATGCGGTATATAATGGGAAGTCAAGACATGTAGGTCTGCGTCACAATTTTGTAAGACAACTAATTGAAAGTGGTACCATCAAGGTTGTCTATGTCAAGACAAGTAGGAACTTGGCAGATCCGTTTACCAAACCTCTGACGAGAGATTTGGTTACATCTACCACGAGAGTCATGGGTCTAAAACCACAATAGAATCGTTTAGTGATGGAAACCAACTTGTCATTAGTGCTCCTAATTTTCAAGTTTAAAGGGTAACAACGAAATCACTAACGATAGAAGGTACTATCATTCATGATAGATCCATGTGAGGTAGGATAGTACGTCGTTGCCGAGAATGAGGTTGAGTTACGACTCTTAACATAGTTTTGGAGACATCTAAGCAACAGAGATGTTGTAAAACTTTGCCTATATGATCTAGAGGTGGTTCCGCCTCAAGTGAAGATTAGTGGTTTATCTTCTAAAGGATCATGAAAAGGATTTATAGCGCATGGCCATAATAGCGCTCAGGGAGAACACAAATATGACTTGTGATGTGTGGGGGTAAACCGGAGAGGTCATTAAGGTTCGTGGTTTAAACCTATAAGGATACCATTGAATCCGTCTCTTCTTGTTTGTTCTCATTAAACTAGGGTTTAATCTTCGTGACACCCGAGTGACATCATCTGTCTGAGTGAAAGGAAACTTACCAACTTGGTGGGGGATTGTTGGTACTTTATATATAAAGGAATTGCAAGTTGGCAATTTCCTTTGTATCCCACATTAGTGGGGGGAAGAAACTTTTATGGGTTTATAAACCTATTCCCTTGGTAAGCCTTCAAAGGCTTTAGTGGATCAAAGGAATGGGCCAAGCCCACGCGCGCGCCTAGCTTAGCCTAGCACTAGCCGACGCCGCGAGTGCGCGATTTAGGTGCACTTTGCACTTCGCACGTCGCTGGGAGCTGAGGAGCTTTTATTTTTGACGGGTTCGGGTCAAGCCGGTTTGACCAATCCAGTCAAATGGTTGACCGCCGTTGACTTTACGTTGACTTCGTGGAGGCCAAGTCAGAGTATTCTAGAAGGATCAGGAAATGGCTTGCTTATAGAGCAAGCTGTTGCTCTAGGGTTTCTAGGGCTGGTCTATGGGGGCCCGTTTGATGTCTTCTAGGGTTAAAATACCTATAAATACAGCTCCCTAGGAGCTGCATTAACCCTCACGAAAAATCTGAAAGCTCTCTCCCTCTCTCTGCGTTTTTTTTTCCCTTCTGGTTTCCGAGTAGTCACTTTGTGTTTGTCGATTTCCAGTGCTGTTGGAATATCGATCAAGCTGCATTAAATCCTGGGGTTTTACTCTGTTGCTTACAGCCAGTACAAGCGAAGTAAAAACCTTTAAGGACAGGAGTCTGATCCGTGCAGTTGCTTCAAGATCAAGATCAGCAATCAACAGGTCGGTTTTACTTTGGTGTCTTGTGGTTAATTCGTCCAATAACAGGACAGTCTTCTTCTACCTTTCTTATAATCAGATCTAAATCGAGAATGATTGATCTGATTTCTTGACGAAACTTGGTAAATATAATAATAATAATTGGATCTATTATTCGCAACTAATCGACATATAATTCTCAATATTGTTTGTCGGTTTCCTTGCGCGTCTATTAGTTTGTTTTCAACAGTGTGTGTCATGTTTAACATTCAAATATGAGCTTTTGGCCCTGAATACACATAAATCGTGAATAAGGATTTCTCATTTGATAATTATTGTTGTACTCAAGTTGAGGTAGGTTTTCTATATTACCTTTAAATTGAGCCGTTTGTTTTTTCGATTGGGATGAATTTTGTTGTTTTTACTGTCATATTATGATCTTTTTTTTTTCTTTTGTAATATAGTTTGGTTTTGCTGATTTGGGTTTTGGGACATATTACCAACTTTCTGTAACATAGATCCTATGTTTGTATTTGATATCTAAAGGGCGATGTATGAAGAGTAATGAGGTTAGGTTTTCACTGTCATCACTCAACAGTGCTATCATTGTCATTTTTATGTTTGGAGGAATTGATAAAAATGGAAGGGCATCAAGGTATTTTACAGCTCAATATATACTCCCATCATTCTTGGTAAATGCTTGGCTTTAAAGCACTTGCTACTTTTCTTGAATTAGCTAAACTTAAAGAAAGTAAAATTAGATTATTATGATTAAAAACTGCCCTCATCTTTCACAAATGGATGAATAATATTGCTTTACAATTATTAAATCTTGTTTACATCATGGTGACTTTTTTTTTCAGGTAAAAAGCAAAAGTATAGGCTTAAGGTAAACAAAATTTTCATATCTTTCTAACTTAATTGATCTAACGAATCAATTTTCAAATATACTGATATGATTTTAACACTAATATTTACATTTTGATGCGGTAATGGTTTGGTTTCCTTTGGGTTTGGGTTTGATTTGGAATTTGAATTTGTTATGTTTTTGGCATATGTTTTTTTTTTTTTTTATCAAATTTAGATGTTTTGTCAGTTTTTTAAAGATCTGTTTTCATTTTCATCATTATGTATCATCCTTGGCTTTTCCTCGGCTGTGTCCTCATACAACGGGTATACTTCTTGTGTTCTTCAATGGATCTTTGTTGAACTTAAGATAATGACGTAAAATATATGTATAAATATGATCATTTGAATTTCATTACATAATTTATCAAATATTTAAGCTAGATAAAGTATAAATTGTGATATGTACAAGAATATATCACTACAATGAGCTTAAATTCTATAAAACAAATCCAATATTAAATATTTCGTATTCCACATATTTTTTAAATAGTATATAAAAACATTAAATTACTTAATAATAATTACCCCTAAATCCATTTGTGTCTCAGACAACTAAAACGTTCAACCTCATGAAGAGGAGATAAGTCGAACTTTAAGTAAATATAGTAGGTTAACGTAATTATTTGTGTCCTTCATATAATTAAAAGTGTAGTAATTGAACAATAAACTTCAAGTATGCTGAAGTATTCTAAAGTAAATTTTAGTCAAAGCAATTGCCCATTACTTAAGAAAAAGTGATACTATATTTATAATTAAATAAGATACATTTAATTAATTTTCATTGACGTTGGACTATGTTGGAAGAGACCATATTGCATAGATAACGACTCAAACTAAGTACCAAAAAGACTTATAAAGAAGTGGTAGATAAAATAAGTGTCCCACGTAATCATCTAAAAGGTTGAAAGTTTATGTTTTGAAATAAGTAGAATTTACATGCTCATTCTAAAAAAATGAGTCCAACAGAGTAATCTTTATGTTATATGTTTTTATATTAAATTAGATGTTCGAAAAAAAATTATATTAATATGACCCGTTAAAATAATGCAAAGGATTTTCAACTGAAAAGCTCTAAATATATGGAAATAGTTTAGTCACTAATTTTTTTTTTTTAATATATTTAGTCACTTATATTTTTTCAATACATATATCCAGTTTGTGTTGTATATATTTAATCATTTATGTTTTTTTTTATGTATATAACCATTAAGTTTAATTGTCAAAAATGAAAAAAAAAGTTAATGGTTAAATGCCTATAAAAAAAGTTTAATGGTCTTAAAACACACAATATATATATATATATATATATATATATATATATATATATATATATATATATATATATATATATATATATATATATATATATATGTTCAGGTTCAGGTTCATTTGAGTCTATATTAATTTTGTGTGAGGTAAGATCATATCTAAATATAATTTTAAAATGCAAAATAAAAGGAAAAATCTAAAAAATCTTTTCTTAATTATTATTTTTTGGAACTTTAATTACCTAAAAAAAAATAAAAATTATAAAAAATTAGTGTTTGTTTTTTTGAAAAATAAGTGAAATATTCTAATAGAATATTACAATGTAAATATTTTAACATGATTTTTATAATGTTAGAATATTATACTAGATTTCTCAGATATATAGAATATTGTATTTATTTTACTAGAATACGTAAAAAAAATGTATTTTTTTTATATTTTTTTTTGGAGAATATAAATTCCGAAAATAATATTTGAACTTTTTTTTTCGACAATTTTCAATTATTTTACATTTTAAAAATGTTTTTTGTTTTATATATCAAATGAATGGTTATGATTGCGTCTCACGATCTCACAAAATTAGGCTGTCTCATATGAACCAAACCCTATATATATATATATATATATATATATATATATATATATATATATATATATATATATATATATATATATATATATATATATAGAGAGAGAGAGAGAGAGAGAGAGATAGATAGATAGAGAGAGAGAGAGAAATATATATTTTGACTTTGAAAGCACAATTCCTTCAAAAGAATTTAATCAAAGAGCTTACATGAAAATCCATTGCATCCTCAATTCTCTCGATGATTATGTCCATTGTTGGACGTTCCTGGGAAATGTGGCTTATGCACTTATACGCAACTTCTTTGAAGGTATGAAAAGAACGACTATCAATTTGATTTGCTATACAGGGATCAAGTAACGTTTCCAATTTGTTATCATATAATTGTCCGACCAAATTCATCAGAAGTTTTGGCTTACCATTTCCTATGCTCCTCATTTCATAAGCCATAATCCCACTCAAGATTTCAAACAATACTACACCAAATGAGTACACGTCCGACACTCTACGAAGAATGCCACTTTCTCCGTAAAAAGGGTCCAAATAAAAGTTGGTACCTGCAGCTTTAGTATAGATGTGGGTACCTTGCTGATTTTTAAAGTTCTTTTTTGACAAACCAGAGTCACAAATTCTAGCTTCCATATTTTTATCTAGCAATATTTTCCCGCTCTTGATGTCTCTGTGTATTACTCCGTTTGAGTGAAGGTAGTTGAGTCCCCTTGCTGCTCCTAAGCAGATCTTGAGGCGGTGTGCCCATGTTAGACAATTCCTCTTATGTGGGTCCTAGAGATGACGATCAAGGCTTTGATTGCTAGCATACTCGGTAATAATAATCATATGATTGTCTTCATCTCAATAACCAACGAAAGGGATGATGTTTTCATGGAAGAAGTTAAAAATAAATTTAAGCTAGTATGGAACTCTTCATATCCTTGGTGACCTTGGGTATCATGGGTTTTTATGGCAATGGTGCAATTGTGCCAACGTTTAGAAAGATGTCCTGTGTAGATATTGCCAAAGCTACCTTCTCCTCTCCAATTATCACGACTGAAGTCTTTTGTTGCCAACATGATCTCCTTTATTGGAATTAGATAACTTTCTAATATTCGGCTTCGTCTGGTAATGGAAGAAGCTGCTCTATGCTGCGAATATAAACCAACGAAACCTAATTATTTAGAAACGTGGTACCATTTTTCCCACTTTCTACAAGTATGACATTGGGTTCTCCAAAATAATCTTGATATGAAAATCTTAAACCAAAATAGTTATAGATTTGAGACTGGTCAGCTGCATTAATTTATGTTTCTTTGTTTGCTTCAAGAGATTTTAATCTTGTATATAAAAAAATTATAGTCAACTTTTTAGAACGTTTTCTAATGTTGTATGATGCATGATTCCTTCAAGAAATTTAAATGAGGCCTAATGGCATAAAAACCCTCAAATTTGCACAAAATTGACGAATTTGCCCAAAGTTCAAATTTAGGTTCGTTTTTGCCTTAAACTTGCATTTAGTGTGTCATTTTTGCCAAGTAGCCGGTTTCCCTTTAATCAACCGGTTGCCACTTGCTTAGGTGGAAGATACGTGGCATTTATCATTTAAAAACTCATTCACAGACATCCTTGCGTGCAATTGATCCCTTCGACCCCCACAGTTAGTCACAGAGCTACAACAGAAAAATGACAACTTCGTCTTCAAGATCAAGCTTTAATGGTGGTACAAGAATGAGGAAAAATAAGGTAATAAGATGCGACTGTGGTGATGTTTGTGGTGTATCAGTCTCACGAACACCTGATAACCCAAGACAAAAATTTTGGGGTTGCCCTAATTATCAGGTAAAAATCTATTTATTTTTGTACTAATTTCTTGATAGGTGCATTTTATGCACCTATTTTGCATGTTTATTTCCATCTTTTTATAGCATTCTACTTCATAATTCTTGCATTTAGTTGATTATTAGGGCAATTACATATTTCATTAAGAATGCCTGGCACTTCACTATTTTTGATTTATTTTGCAGGCATTATGGAGCTTGGATGCATGGATGCTTGGATGCTTGGAGCGTAGAGCTTTGGAACATGAAGATGGAGCCAACAGTGAAGACGTTTTGGAATTTTAGCAAAAAGCATGGGCCATGCCAAAAACGCATGGTCAAGATAAATGGCCATGCCAAAGAAAAACACATGGGCAAAAGGCATGGCCATGCTAAAAACGCATGGCCTCATGGCATGTCACGTGAACTTTAATAAAAGAGCAGGAGACGTCATTTTTGAAGGGGAGAACGGTTTTAGGAGTAGTTCCTGGCGATCTAGGGCAATTTTGGGAGAATTCTTGGAGCTTTTGAGAAGACTTAATCATTGCAAACATTTGGATTTCACTTTTGTAAGGATTAAACATTCCAATTCCATCTTATTCTTGTTTGATTTGTTCTTAGCCATGTGTGGCTAAAAAACCCTAGTTTCTAGTTCTTGTTCAAAACATGTTGATTGCTTGACTTGAAGCATATGATTTGATGTTTGATTTTTGATTCTATTCTAGTGATTATGTTTTTGTTTAAACTAGAATCCTTGAATTTGATTTGTGTTTGATTGGCCACTTTCATGAATTGAATTTTTGTGCAGTTAATTAACTTTTAGGGCACCTAATCGTTCTATTGAGTTAATAATTGGTAACAAGCAATAAGTTTTCGTATTGTAAAACATATATCACATGTTTTCACACTTTCGAGCGTATGAGAAGATATGAACATTGTTGGGAAGCTTGTACAAAACTTAATGCGGTTTTTCAATACAATCTAAGAGCGTGTTTAGGTTGAATTAGTAAAGCTAGGTCTAATCAAAGAGCGTGTTTTGGTTAGATAATTTGGCAAGCGAGAGTTATTAGAGCATGTTAATATCTTTCAGTACCAACATAGAATAGCAATCTTGAATTACATCAAGTCATAATCAAGTTGAACAACAACATTGAGAACTAGAACTAAAACCATTCAATCAATTTGTTTACAAATCTATTTCATTTTGTGCATGCTTTTAAAGTAGATTGTCATTTAGTTATTTACTTTTGCAAACAAACCCCCCTTTGTGACCAAAGTACCTTGTGCAAAAAGGTATAGACTTTTGTCCCGTGTCTCTGTGGTTCGACCCTGCTTGCCTTGTACTACTTTTTAGTGCATTAAAGCAGTGTATTTGGAGTCTATTGTACCCCTATTATTTGTTGGGTTTGACACGCCTAACATTTCTCCCTAAAAATTAAGGGCTGCTCTACCTTCCCAAAGAGGAACGTATGTAATAGAACCCTAATATATTTTTTTGTTGTAGGTGGAAGGAGGTAACTGTGGTTTTTTCTAATGGGCGGATGAAGAACTAGGTCAAAATATGGAGATGTTTCATATAGAGGAGATCAAGCCATTGTTAGAAGTGATCATAGGGTTGTTAGTGGTTATATCATTGATGCTAGCAATAGTGGTTATTAATATGTGGTTTTGTTAGTTTTTCCTGTATTAGTAATATATTAAGGGTAATGAAGAATTGTTACATCTTTGTAATGTTTTTTTTAACGGCTGAATGTTACATGTTTGTAATGTATTAAGGGTATTAATGGTAGTTAATTGCTATCTCATGTATATGTTGCGTGAATGGAAGTACAATGAAAGTACATTGCATAAAAGGAAGGGCTAATGATATAATAGCATCTTTAGCATGATAAATACTTTGAATAATAGCATCCATTGCATCTTTAACCCCATCAAGTGTTTTTTTCAGGTCGGGTTCAACATCCTCAACGCCTTTGTCGTCATTAGCATGATGAATACTTTGAATAATAGCATCCATTGCATCTTGGAATCCATCACCTTTCTGATAATTATACTTTGGTTGGCTAAGAAAAGCTTCAAAAGTGCACATCATATCAACCAAATTGTTATCATCAATATCTTCTTTGTCAAACAAATCTTTCATTTGTTCCTCACATCCCTTACCTTCAACATGACCATCTAAACCATCATGCTCATCAAGTAGAACTCTATCTTCAACAATGTCACCACCTCTTTTTATCCCCAACTTCTTTTTGCTTCTAAAAAATTTAGAACCTGATGCTTGATTTGGGTCAGAGTGGACCTTTTTCCTTGGCCTTCCTTTCTTCTTTGGTAGCATAGGAACTGCTTCCTGCCTCTCAGACCTATCACATGATGCTTGACTGGGTTCAAATTGTTCCTTCCTTGGCCTTCCTTTCTTTTTTGGTGGCATAGGGGCAGGTTCCTGCCTCTCAGACCTATCACATGATGCTTGACTGGGTTCACATTATTCCTTCCTTGGTCTTCCTTTTCTTCTTTGGTGGCATAGGGACAGTGTCACACCCCGCTAAAGCGGAAACGCAAGGTATGACAGCGATAACGGTTTCATTGCAAAAGATAATGATACATCACCATAGCAGAATTTAAAAGTTTACAACCCATAGCTTCAAAAGAAACAAAATACAAGTTTTTCCAAAATAACACTGTTCAAAGATAACTTCATAAATAACTTCAACACGATGCAGCATGCTCTATGATGATGAATCTTTATATCCACTTACTAATTATTTCCTGAAAAAGTATGTAAAACGAGCGTCAACTATGAAAATAGTTGGTGAGTTCACAAGTTTATAAAATCGAGCTTGAAATAAGGCTTTTCGTAAATACAAGTACATTGCTTTTGTGATAAACAAAGTTGATTGCTATTAATGAATACAAGTTTATTGCTATAACGAGAAACGAGTTTGTATGTTGTCACAACTAGAAATTTTGTGTCTTGTAATCACTATACTCAAGTAAATGTTGAATTCAAAAACTCAAGAGCATGTATGATGCTTACTCAATGGAAAACTAAACCTCAATTCACTACATCAAGCAATTGGAAACCCTAGAAGTTCTTGATTAGGTCCATTTTGGACTAGGACTTCCTTATTGGACTCAATAAACCAATAAGCTTCCAATTTAACTATCATGGGCTTAGAACCCTTAAATGGGTTCTAATTGGACCCACATTAATTTAATTCAACATTTTGGGTCATTTTGGGCCTAGAATGAAATGAATTAAAAGCTTTGATCCATGATTAACCTAATCTAGCTTAATAAAGCATAAAAATAACAATTTTATCTTATAAGGCCAATGATCACCCAAACTAACTCTAATATTGGGCTTAGGGGCAAAAATCCCAAAAAATCCTTTCTTCCCTCTCCATTCTCGGCCCAAGCCCAAGGAAAAGGAAGAGTTGACTTTGGATTGCCACCTCACTTTTATTTGTTGGGTCTCCATGCATGCAACTCATACTTCCAAGCATCTATCTTGTCAAAGTCACTCTCTTCTTTCACCTCTCTCCCTCTCGGCCGAATCCCAAACACACACACAAACATTTCACTCATCTTTTCTCTCAAGTAACTCTCTCCATTTCTCTCCAAATTTTCGAGATCTAAGAGGTGTTCAAGGGATTTCTTCCATAAAGATCATCATCTAGGTAAGTTGAAACTTGGATCCACAAAAATCTCTTCTTAACTCATATAAAATCATAATCTTGTGTCTTAGAACCTCTCAAACTCGAGATCATCAAGAAAAGGTTGCTTAGGCCGAAAATCATCCTATTTCCTTTCCATTTCTCCTCCAAAACCGAAACCACATCCAAAGGTGAGCTTCATACTCCCTATTTTCTGTTTTATAAGTTTTTGGGGGGGGGGGGGGAATACAAGTGAAAGTGTAGATCTATATGTGTTTTGTATGCCTTGTATGATTTCTATGCTTATATGTGTGTTTTTGTGTGTTTATGATGTTGGATCTAACCATAAGCCCCTAAAAATCGAGATATACTTTATGTTAAATGATACTAGCATCAAATATATTTCTACATACAAATTATTCCAAGAAAAATAGCTAAGTGGCTTAATAACATCTTTTTTGGGCTAAAAACTCAATTTTTGGACATAAAATGTTAAAAATATAAAGTTAAAGGGCCCAAAATGACATATTACGAATTCTGATGGATGAGAAGAGTCAAAACAGTTTCAATAAAGTATTTTCTGGAAATATACTCTTTTGGAGGGTTGAAAATATAAATTTCAAGCTTAATGGGCTAAAAATGACATTTTTGGCCCAATAGGGCCCAATATGCGAAATTTTCTGTTTTAAAGGGCAAAACTGTATTTTTCTGCAAAACAGTGGACTACTAGTGTCCCAAGTCCTTTTCTAAGGTTAAAAATGCTTTTCATAATTAAAAAGGACCAAAGTTGCAAAAATTTCCAATTTGGGGCAAAAGTGTAAATTTGCAAAAAAGGAAGGTTTCAACCGAGAAAACTGTATTTTCAGGGACCAAAATGTTTTCAACTAAAAATATGCTGAAAAATATCAATTTCAATAAGTTTTGGTGTTAAAATGTCAAGAAAAATGGTTTAAGGACCAAATCGGAAATTTATTTATTTAAAGGGTTGAAAAAGTAAATTTATAACAAAAAAGAGGGGCTGTAATAGAAAAGTTGAAATTTTAATTCAATACATCCGTTGTGATCAAACACTGGCACTACGACTACCGACGAATTATATTACACAACAACACCAAAAATCGTTATCAAACGAATTGATTCGGTCTCGAATCAATGACAAACCCGAAACTACTAACACGACAATAACTCGACTCATACACGGAAACATTTGGGAATTCAATACACACGTGAGAGTGCAAAGATGTCTACGCACCATCTTTGGGCCCAAAAGTGTAAAATCTTGTTTGTTGGGCCTAGCTAGCCCGATGACCTGATCTTTAGGCCCGAAGGCTTCAACCTTACGAGTTGTTGAGTCTACATGACCCAACACAACGTAAAAGGACTTTCAATGGCCTTTATACTATTGGTCCCCAAGGGTCCTTTGGTACGGCTAGTAAAGTCGGTTATTCAAATGCGAATCAAGGGCCCTTCGTACTCTTTTTTTTTATCCCCAACCGGCTAACGGAGTTACCGAGGTCTTCGTGCCCTCTTTCTCTTCGGATGTGGGACTACAAGAAGTCAGGGTGATTGGATTACGTGAATAATACTGATGACGCCTACGGGATCGTTAGTATAAGTTGTAAACTGGCCGTTTGTGTAACGCGTGTTTATAGCAATTCACCATGCGCAATAATCCGACGTCCCCTGGAATCAATGACTTCACACGCCACGATGGTTCTACAACTACATGGAATTCAAAGTATTAGGAAAACATCGGGTTTTCCTAGGGTTTTACAATACATACAGTTTTGAAATGTACACAAGTTTAGTGAACATTTTTTTTAGAAACAAACAAGCATACTTATGGATCTTCACAAACCTTTTCAGAAAATATCGGATTTTCTGGTGGTTTTCAAAATAATACAAAACGTTGCTTTTCAAATACCGCTTATGAACTCACCAACATTTCATATGTTGACGTTTTTCAAAATACTTGTATTCTTAGGTAACAAGTGAACCAAAGGAAAATGTACTCAGTGATGGCTTGCAGTTTGTTTAGCTATGAACCGAACAATTTGTTTTTGGGAATGTAACATTAAAACAATGTACTCAGTTTAAACATTATCAGTTGTACTATATTAATGCATGGTGACGAATGATGTTATGTTTCATATATATTCAATGTTATGGTATTCAATTAAGTCACAACAGCCCTCGGACGTTTCCGCCGTCTGGTTTGGGGGTGTGACAGGTTGGTATCAGAGCTTTGTTTATAGTGAACTAGCATGTCTAGCCACACATTTATATGCAACTATAAACCAAAAAGAGGGACTAACATAACTATGAACAAAACAAGTAAATAAAACACCCTTGCTTGCATTAGGAATAGGAACATAACGCCGAACCAAACAAAAATAATACTAGTATCTCGGTTAAAATAAGGACTGTTCTTAGTGGTACCAAGGAGTGGATGTAGCCTGATCAATTACACTCTCTCCAAAGTATAACTAACACACGTCCTGATGAGATCGGGATAGCTAGGGAACCTAAAACTATACCCTTCTAGCACCAAAAGAGAACGCCTGTTTAGCTTATGCAATAGTCGTGGCGCCTTAGGAATAATGTTAGCATATTTACACACTCTCGCAGACAGCATGGCTGGTTTTCATCATCCCGGGGATCCCTACTTCCCTAACCAGGGAAACAACGGATGGCTAGAGGAGGAGGAGCCTGAGGAAGAGCCTGAGGAAGAGACTGAGGAGGAGCCTAAGGAAGACCCCGAAGAGGAATCTGACGGGGAACCGGAGGCCGAAGTCGAGGGCGAGCCTGCCGAATCAGAGGAAGAAGAAGGAAGCCTCGAGGAGGATACTGATGATAGTGAAGGGGGTGATTCGGACGTGGAGTCCGAAGTCATCAACCCCCTTACCCGATCAGGGTGCCTGCCTATCGTGTAGGCCCCACTGGTCCTACACCTCCCTGGGGCATTGACCTTTGGAGGTGGAGCAGACAGCAAGGATAGCGACCCCCGTACGGCATGTCACGCGATTTCTTTGACCTGAGAGACGGAGGACCGGCTGATCGAGCCCTTCCAGTCATGGTGAGGCGGTTACGGAACACGGGCGACCTTGCCCAGGACACTGTTGATCATGTGCGCCAGTTGAGGACTAGGGTCGAGCGTGCGGAGCAGGAGACGCGTGACGTCCTTCGAGAGTTTCACATGAGGCAGGTTCGGTGGGAGTCTCGACTTCAGGACGCAGAACGCTTGGTGGCTCACCTTCAGGGAGCATCCACATCCTCGGCACCACCTTCGGACGCAGCTCATCGCGATTAGGGATAGACTTATATTAGTAGATCAATAGGAACTATGCTATGTACCCCGACTCTATGTTTAAGTGACTACACTACTCATAGAGTCGTTATGCTGTCGAATTAGTGTCACTCATGTATGCTCTTACGAGCAAAATTTTCTGGTATCAAATGCGGATAATATTAATAAACTTTTATGTGCTTTGTTATGACATTACAAATTGCTATGTGTTGAGAAATTATGATTGAATGTCCAAGGGAAGTAGCATTCCAGTTCGTACCATGCACCTAGTCAGTAGGATCACAACCTCACAGAAGCCACATACACTCAACATCTTTCCGTTTCGTGACAGAAAGATGCCTCTCCGACCTACTCGCGGAAACCCAGGACCAACTCCACCTGAAGTTGACTCAGCCGCGTTCCAGGCAGCTGTATCTGCTGCGGTCACTGCAGCGATTGCACAAATTCATCAAGGGAATAATGGAGGAG